GGGGGGGGGGCACTCCCATATAAAAAGGTCGGGGGTGCTCGTCGCACCTTTTAGGGGTTAAAAAAGCAGTTTTGGTATCTTTTAGGCTGTTAAGCCTCAAAAGGTCCACAGCCGGAGCGTTTGCGATACATTTTAGGGTATTGAGCCAAAACATGTGACAGAAAATAATGTGTTGTTTTAGAATTAATACTTCTTAGGGGTGAAAAACATTTCAAGCCACGCCCATAAAACAGAATTTTGGTACTTCTTAGGGGTTCTTTTCAAAATTTCCGATGAACACTGCCATCCTTTTTATATATGAGTCCCCCCGGAGAAGGAACAGAAAACTGTAATTTTTAGCACTTTTTCCATTGATAAAGATTTGGACGAGTTTGAGGTGTGTTCTCCTTGCAATCCTAGTACTCTTGTCTATATGAGAGCCTCCCAGGGGTTTTGGGAAACAACGGAACATGATGATTTATTTCAAGGGAACAAAGGATATTTTGGGATTAGTCAGTGAGGGAATCGAACAAGGAATATCTTTAAGGAAACTTTGACAAAGCATTTTAGGGAGCAGTGGAACTAATCCTGAAGCAGCGGCGTTGGAGGAGGATTGGGCACCTATTACGGAAAGATGGAACTTCTATCACTTAGGCTGCTGTACACTGGACACCAGAAGGAAAGCGAAAAAGGCGCAGACCAAAAGCAACATGGCGCAGGACAGTAGAGGAAGAGCTACAACAACATCATCTACTCCGGTTGGAGCACCATCGAGAAGGCCGCAAAAGACCGGTTAGAATGGAAGAGCCTCGTTGCCGCCCTTTGGGCCAGCCGGCGCTATGGGGATGACTGGAACTTATTAGGGAGAAAAAGTTAAATTTTCAAGGGATCAAGAGAACATTCCACCCCCCTGGGAGGCCCTCCTCGGCATGCGGCGGTCACGCAGGAATTCAATATGCACGCATACCGGACCTATCTTCTTCACCTTTTCCTGTCACACTCGGTAAACTCACGTATGATTCTGATAACTGATCTCGATTCCGGAAGTCTCTAAGGAATCTGTTTATTTTAAAAGGGGAGAGAAGCAAAAGGACGCCGATTGCTTTCTCGCAACGGGAACGTGACAGACGTGACAGCGAGTCCTCGATCGGTCCTCCTGATGCACAAAAATTATCACGTGCCAGATCAGCTGTTTGGTCATCTGTTTGTCTTCCGATGATCGGCATTTTGGCCGTGTAGTGAAAAGATAACAGTAGCAAAAGTCTCTTGAATTTCATAGGAAACACAGTATGTACTGGGCAAATCGTCTGGTTGACACAGGTAAAGAAAGCTTTGAGACGGAAATTGTTGAGAGTTTCGTTTTATTTTTCTTGTTCTCCCTACCCTACCCAGGACAGTGTTCTAAGCCACTCGACCCACTTTTATCAAAACCACGAACAGGAACTGTATGCGCGGAGAAGAGTGGTTTGTTGGTGTGATTTAACTGAGTTTTCTCCTTGTAGAATAGCGCTGTAGGCTAGAAATGACTTGAAAGTGGAAACCTTGGAATTCATCTTGAAGAATGAACTATTTAGGCCGTTTTGTGTCGAACGTGCGGGGATTTTACAGCGAGATAAACTCCGCCACTCTTACTGGAGCAATCGACGTCGTGGTCGTTCGACAAGAAGATGGTTCTTACATCGGTTCACCGTTCCACGTTAGATTTGGGAAACTTGGCGTGCTTCGTAGTAGAGAAAAGATCGTAAGTAGAAGCATTTCTTTCAACTTCACCTGCACATATTAAGTTAGATTCTGGGACATAAATTTTGCGATATAAGCTTATAACTATCGTCGAATCGCAATCAACGCGGCGAATATCGCTGACATAACCAAGACGTAGATGAGACAATTCTAGTAGCGCAGTTTTTGATCAAAACTGTATTTGCAAATTCTCTTTTTGGAATATCTCGTACTAGTTTACACTTTCATTGAAAGAATTCAGCTGTGTTGTTACTGTTTAAGAGCTAAATCCATGATCTAAAATGATCGAGGTTTTGTACTGTACTGTACCTTCCCATCGCGTCACTTGCTGTTCTTGGAAGCCGTTTAGGGATCCGAGAATGTCCTTTTCTAAACATCAGAAGATATGTATCCCTTTTCAATGATTCCTTTATTTTTTGTAAAGTTTTACAAGGTTATAAGTTCGAACTTCACATTATCAAGCGATTCTACTTAAGATACAAGATGACAAACATTTTACCAGATTCAATGAAATCGTGTAACCCCTTGTTGCTGTTTATTATCGTGCGAGGAATATCATATAATTGCTTCTTTTTCTCCGTCGCTGAAAGATCTTAGCTCTAAATTTTCTATTTAGATACATAAATTAAACAACTTTTCAGAGCAAGACAAACATTGGGCAAATGAGCTGCAGAAATTTTAGAAAGCTTACGGAGAAGCTTCTGTTTACATAAATTGCATGAAGATAGTAAAATGCACATTGTTTATTGATTGCATGATTTTTCTCACGGGTTTTTTACCTCTAATCTTCCTCCCCAACTTCGGCTTGTTCGTTATTGTTTTCCCGTAAATATCATTGGTTTATTTAAATGGCACCACCATATACACACCCCCTTACTCTCTTGAGAAAACAATTCAATTATGTAAGATCCATGAATGGAATGTTGTGATTGTAATCACTCCAATTTTAATTTTTACAAGCCTGCAGAATGACAAATGTTTGGGTTAGCTGTCTTTTTCTGAGTTCAGAGATTCTAACCAAGGCCGTGTGTGATATCAACTAGTACTGCACCGTACATCAAATATAGATGTGCTGGTTTAAGTGTGGCAAAAATTTTGATTTAGAATTATTTATGCAGATTTTTAAGCCTCCTGTAAATTTGATGACACATTCACAAACATGCATGTATTAAATTAAAGCATTGTTATGCTTATTAGGTCCTATCAGGTATTACATGAGAGAAGAAACTTTTCGAATTTATATGGCTCTATCTGTAAGAACTGCAACCCGTTTTTCATCAGTTGGCAGAGTTCATGCCTTATTCTCACTAACAACACAATCAGAAGCTGTAATATGAGAAATAGCATTAATTACAACCAACCCATGGATTCAGTAGTCATTACTAGAGGCACTGACAGCGAGATTGTAAATCGTACAATTTGTTACATGATTGACAGGTTGACATAGAAATCAATGGAGAGCCTGTTGAACTTCATATGAAACTTGGCGATGCAGGAGAAGCTTTCTTTGTTGAAGAAGTAGAGACCAATGATCCGTCAGAGTTTTGCATCTCCCCAATACCCACTCCAGAGACTCTTCAAGATGTCAAGAAAAATGACAGCGGGTCACTTGAGGTAAACTTCTCGTGATAAAAGATATTCTTGTCATATTTTAACTCTAGTGCAGGTAGATTGTATCTGCATGATCCTGTTAGGTCTTTTCCGAGTTTCTCTGTGCCTCTGTTTCAAAACGAGCGTTTGTGCAAAACCTTTCACAGGACAATGAGTTTGATTTGCATGAAAATGAAATTGTAGGCAGAACACATTTTCATATGAATGGTTTTGCACAAACCCTTTTTTTGATACAGTGTCAGAAATGGCCTGTTGCTCTTGGTCACTATTTTTTTTTTGTGGGAGGGGAGGCAATTTAAACCCCTCTTCCCTGATCCACCCCTCCAGGAAATCCAGTTGAGCTTCATTTTTTTCTCTGTAATCTGTTGGCTAATTTGAGTCTCCACCCCCCATCACCCTCCCCCCTGCAGAATTTCTAATGAGTTTCCAGCAGGTTGGTGCGCATGTCTCTTGTTAATCAGATATATTTTGATGCTGAATAGTGAAATAGCATTAACTTAAAATTAATATGCTATCTTTGTGTTTATTTCAGGAAAGTGGTAGCAATGCAAATGTTAGTAGGGGAAGTAGCGAAACTTGCGTGTCTGAAAATGCAGAGAAGGATACCAATGTGACATCTGCTGCAGAGAAAGAATACAACATGACTGTTGATCATGAGAAAGGCAGGTTAACCCCAGATGAAGGAGAAACAGAGGAGAGTAAACCAGATTCAAAAAATTCAGATGTTAGTATTGAGGAAGCTAGCAAAGCAAATGATGACACTCACAGTGATCCAGAAGCTGGGGAATCTGAAGAATCTTCTTTGTCGCCCACAAAGGAGCCTAGCATAGATGCTGTTGACAACAAGGAGGTCCCTCCTGTTGATAACATTTCAGAGACTGATAGCAACTTGGAGGTATGTCCACTGAAAATGCGTTTCCCAATTCTTAGGTCTAGCTCTACATTTTGCCATAGTCAACTAGTTTTGGGTCACATTGTGTGTGCTGAGCAAGATTGATCTTAAAAAACTAACCTGCTGGCTAGAAAGAAGGCAGTAAGCAAGTAATTTTGAGGCCCTATGCGCCAACTTGGCACCAGGGGACAGGTAAAGGTGAAGGTGAAGCTAGTAATTGGGAAATGTTATTGATACATGTTTGTTGCGGTTACATGAAGCAAAAGATTGGTGCATTGATAGTGATGTTATCGCTGCGGCTCATTTCAGGCTTTAGAAGTGACCTCTCCTTCCAAGTCAGACAGTATTCCTATACCGATGCGACGGAATGTTGATCAACATGATTGCTTATCGGACAGTGAAACCACGGTAACATATACACTAAATAATGAAAAATGGGTGCCTCACCGTTAAGTGTCAATGATTTGGGCTGTGCTAAAATTTGCTTCCTGGCACAGTTTTTAATTTATTTCAATTGATAATTCAATATTGACACCTTCGTAACAACTTCATAATTATTGGGTTCTGTTTAATTTGGCAATCAATAACAAACATTATGAATATATTTAATGTAGCTAGCTAACTTGGGCTGTCATACTAAGTACATGAACATGGACAACTAGTCATTTAAGTGTGCACCATAATCCAGTGAGCTACCCTCATGGTGCTCATAGCTAGATGTCAAATAGATTTGGATTGGATTTGGATTGGATTGTATAACTCTGTCAGGTGGTAAAGATACAAGCTGTATCTGATTGTCCAGCATTCCAACTTTTATTATTCAGTGGCAAGGTTCAAGCTCAACGTCCATTCCAAGTGGATTTAGCAGAGACTTCTATCCTTTCTCTGATCTGGATTCACCCATTGGCTCTCCGCCTACTCACAGGTAAGAGGTTTGCCTGTTTTTGCCTCTGACTAATTATCAAATTCTCCTTACCATTTGCCATAGTTTTCTTTTATATTTGCTATGAGATTTTATAGATTCATCAGGACAGTATTCCCAGGTTGACTTTTTTCATTCCTGTCAAGCACCTGTTTTTGTCAATATGTGTTGATGTTATTAGGAGAAATAGAGCAGTTTGTGTCATACAACCAAATCCAAAGTTCTTACTCCTAGTCAATCACAAAGGACACAGACAGTGAACCAATCAAAACTCAAAGTAATTACTTGTTGCTTACCTGAAGCGTATGAAAATGAGAGCAAATGAGTTACAATAGGTTTTGGTTTCACTTCTGATTGGATAAAAAAGTGGTACAAGGATTTTAAGCCAATCATATAGCATAGTAAGTGCAAATAAGCAACTAATTTTGTACACTCAAATGAAAACTGCTCAAAGCTGTTGATCGCTTGTAATGTAATTAGTTCATTGCTGTCTGGAGAAATTTGAGTAAGAAATGTTGTAGTCATCATTTTGGCAGATAACTAAGCAGGAGGTACAAGTAAGTGTTACACAGAAAGCTAGCCAGAGCATGTCTTGGATCAAGAACATGAACAAGCCTTGGAATACAGTCCTGAAGTCTGTGTGAAAGGAATGGTCTTGGGAGAAAACTCTGATTGAAAACTCAATTCTCATGAAATGAATTGTATGAAGTGTATGCAAGAGAGTAAGGAGAACTTGGTGATCTAATGTTCATTTTAACCATTTCTCTTGCAGTGATGAACAAGTGAACGATCCACTCAAACCACAGCACTATATGAGTGACTCAGAATTGGAGTTGCATCAGAGCCAAGAGAACATTGCAAGAGAAAACGAAATCCGATGGGCCTGGGGAAAGCTACCACAGGTTCAGGCTCACATGAAGTTTTTTCGTAATATTAGATAATAGTCTTTATTGAGGACATAAGTAAAGCATTGTACAGATCATCCTGAGGTTGATAGTCAACAGGCTTTTAGCCAGATGGGCATCTAGGCATCCTGTGGACGGCCACTTATTAAAGGAAATCGTTTTATTGTTCATATGTTGCCTTATAAATTTTTCATTTGAGCAGACCCTATAGCACATTTTGGACGCCCACTTTTCAAATCCTCGCTAAAAGTCTGCTGGTCAACAACGTTTGGCAGAAAAATCATAGTATCTCTCTCCAAGCAAACAGGCTTCAATAACTGGGACCTCCATGCTTTATGTTCTGAAAAAAAAATTACTTTCAAATTAATTAATTAATAATGTAGTGGTTCATCAGGTACAGTTAAGTCATATTGCTTCTAAAGATAGAAATTGAACAATGATTTCTTACATCAGTGACTCAAAAGAGGCTAAATTGTAAAACAATGCTAATTTTATTTTATTTTATTTTATTTATTTGTTTATTTATTTATTTTATTGTTCAATTTGCTTTGTACATCAGGGGCCGGAAGGAAGATCTTTGCAAGACAGGAAACCTTCAGGTAGAGAGCATCGCTAAATTTGTTGTTGCTTGTTGACATTTTCTAACTTTTGTTAGTACTTCAGAGTGATTTCTGAATGTGCGTTCGAGTTAGCTACATGTACTCCCCAATTCTCAATCTGATTGGCTTTTTGTAAGTGAGAAGAGAGATTTAAATACAAATTAAAATGGTTGACTCCCAGTAAATGCATGTAAGCTCATCAGTGAAGGCTCTTCTTCAAACCAGACTATCATGTATTCATTTGAAATAAAAACCTGCATCCTTTAACCCCTAATATTATTACTGCTAGACTGAAAATTGACTGCTAGTTTGGATTTTTTGGTTTTGAGTGAAAGCATTGCAATGATTCAAGTTGGTTCTTCATTTTTTGTTGAAGCAGATTTGAGAAAAGAAGACATCAAACACATGCACAAGGCAAAGAGGAGAGATTCATCATTTAAGTCGTCACATCACAAGGTATGTGTGTGCTCTAACATAAGAAATAATGTCCAATGTGTATGGATAAGTTGCTACATTGGTGCTACATTTGTCAGGCAGTATTATTGTGCTTTTGAGAGTCCTTAAGACTGGTTTTCTCTAGTGATGCAAACTTAAACACAAGTACCAGTGTCTACAGAACTGCAAGAAATCCAAATGCATGTACAGAATCAAAATAAATGTTTGCTTGCACTAACTTGCATGTATAACACTTAAATTTTGCCAGTAACATCCTGACACCCAGACCATTACAGTAAGGCACTATCCCTGCAGAACCTCTATTTTCATTTGCCTGTTGTAAACACTACCTCCACTGTATTTTATGGCTAGGGTGCATTGTTATCACCCATTATCTTTGAACTCTTTCCAAGAGATAGTGGGTAAGCTGACTGCATAATTTGACCTGGTCTTTCCAGAGAACGAAAACCGTATGTTTAAACTGATTCTAGGAAATAGTCAAGTAGCATGCTCCTCCCAACTGTTGTCATGACTTTGTCTTTCTAGAGAAAGAAGACTGTTTCTAGTTACCATTGATTTTAAATTAAGAGTGATGTAATTTGTTTTGAATCCTTGCAGATTGGTAACAAGGAGGGGATTCTCTTAGATGATCTCAGAACGGTTGATCATGAAGTGGCAGCACTTTACCTCCACCAAGCTTTGTAAGTCAAACCTGTTAATGTAATTCTTGTAGTTGAAGATTTGTTATATGACCATTTTGAAGATTTTTTGATGACTTCTTTTGTTGGTTAAAGTATTTTCAAGATGAATAGAAGTGGAAAACATGCAAAATATTAATAAGAAATTTTCTTTGCTGATATCCATATGGTAGGTCAAAGTAAAATTCAGGTTAAAATGAAATTCCTTTTTTCCTTAATCCTAATGATTCATGGATCATGAATAATTAGGGTTAGAAGACAAAAGAAATCAAGGATCAAACTAGGTTAAAATCATTTTAACCTGAACTTCATTTTGACCTACAACATACATATGAGAATAATTGCTACTAAATCAAGACACTGTGTAAACCTAATATTGATGATATTCTCTATTCTCCATGTCTTGAATAACCCTTGTGGTATTGTAGTCAGGTCATAAGTAAAATTGAAGTCTTGGTCATAGTGTTGAAATATTTTTGCTTTGTTGTCTGTACAGAGACTCTAAATTACAACAGCAGCAGAGTGGGTCAGGATCAGAAGATCGAGAATCTGGGATTGGGCCATCACTTCCTTGTTCACCTACAGCTGGTGAAGGACCAAAAGAAACAACGTAATTATGCTAGTTTGAATATAATAGATGTATTTTATGTAGATGCTATTTCCCAGCATTGTAATGAAAAATAGTCTTGGGCTGTTGTCCTGTCATAAATTTTCAATTCAGTGGCCCTTTTCTCTTCGTCAGTTTTCCAAAATTCTAGTCATCCAAAGAGGCAGCATTACTGCAAGTGAAATTTATGGGCATGTTACATTTACTGTGCTGGCTGCCTAGGAAGATTTAAATTATTAAAACTTTGTGAGGTAGCAGTGGTGTAATGCATTTCACTGGGACCATACTCTAAGTTATTATTTTTTTTGGCAGATATTTATTTAAATAAATCCTTTTTTGTTCATTTATTATTTCCTCAAGCTAACAGCCGCTAATTTTTCCTTTTTTCTCTGATTTCTTTTTCCAGCGATGAGTATCACGACATTGCCATGTCTTTGTGTGGGGAGCTAAAAAATGGCAAAGTTGCACTTGGTAATTAAATCTTCATTCTTTGTGAAGCATTAACTCAAAAAGAGATGAAATCTGGTCCTCAGTTTTGAATCTTCTGTGTTTTATTTTTCCAGAAAGTTTCATGCAGTCCATGGTGACATATGATGACCTGTGTAGCAACCCTTCATTATTGTCAGACCCCAAACTTGTTATCAGAATTAACGACAGGTATCTATAGGCAAATCTTTGCTGATGTCATTGTTTACATTTTTCTTATTAACATACAACTTTGTGCAGAGAAGGCATCACGCTAGACACGAATTGACTACAAACATTTAAAGAGCTTGTGAAACTTTAAGTAATTGGTGAAATATTCCAGGAGAAATCTGCTTTCAAAAAGTGCACAATTTCTGGATGGCAAAAGCGCTAATGAAATCATACACTCTTTCTGAAATTAGTTTTGAAAAATATGGGATTTGAAGCTGCTATTTATAATATGCTGTTTTTGCATACTAGGTATTATAATTGGCAGATTGCTGCTCCGATGTTAATGTCCCATGTAATTTTCCAAAGACCCCTTAGACAGGTAATGTTGAGTACATGTATCTAGTTGATCATGTTTGTTATTCTCATCACCCATCTGGTACTGCATTAAATTCGTAAGGAGAATTTAGGTGTTGGTCACAGTATTGAGAGATATTTGCTTTCTTGCGTGCAATTTTCCAAAGACCCCTTCATCACATCATGTTATTTTCATTTTACAAAGTTTTTTTGTTTGTTTTATTCATAATTTATATTCATCAGAACAGATTTGACCAAGCTAATGGTTTGTATATTAGGCACTTCAGAGAGGTTCCTTGATCAAACAAGTTACTGGGTTACATGACAAAAATGCTGGGGGGGGAGGTTGGAGGGGGGCACATGCTGGATCAACTAACCAGTAGCCAGATTAGTAGAACATGCACATAAGTCAGTTATTTATGGTGTGTTTTTCTTGTGGCATTATAAAACTTGGACTGTAAATTGAAGATGTCTTGTTCTATAGGATACTGTCCAGTCCTTGGTGAAACAGCACATGCCTAAAAAGGTTGGTGATAAATTACACTGTTTAGGAAAAAAATATATATTGTTGACAGTACAGACAAAGATAATTTTCATTAACTTTCTGTACACAAAATAGTTTCTTTGAGACAAACATGTTCAACTTTCTCTTTTAGTTGTATCTAATTAATGACTTTTCTGATACATGAAAGATTGT